TGTTCGCAGAGACAGTAAGTAAGAATTTGAGAAGGTTGGCTTAGACACACTGGCCATGATGTGACACATGCCGCGTCTGCTCTTTGCGCAGATCGAGACCGCAAGCGCAGGCAGAGACGCAGCAGCCACACTTCCATTGAGGTTTTCTTCTACCAAGCCATTCTCATAGGGACCCTTAAGGGGTAGGGGGAGGAAAGGTAGGGGGCCTTAATGCCCATCATAGGGACCTAACAAGGCCTACTTGAGGAAGTATAGTCCCCAACCCCCCTCCCCCCTACCCCCCTGAGGTTTCCTATGACATTCCTAAGGCATCATCCAGAATCATTGCGCTACATGGGTGGCACCTGCCCTCGTGTTGCTTGAATGCTGAAGGTGTAGTTGACATGGATGTTAGCGCTTAAGTTCTCATTGCAAGCATGCCTACATTCGCACGATGCAGGTTCCAGCACCAATTGTGCCTGATTCTGTTGATGCCTCAACGGAAATTCTGTTGAGATTCGGATAGTGCCGCAATGGAATTGTCCCTACAGCGGGCTTTTGCCCACATTACAATGGTTCCCATGGTTTTAAAAGGCAACAAAATCAGTGCTGATCATTGTGTGACGAGCAACCTTTCCAGGCTAGCGTAAGCCCTGTTTTGCGACCGAGAAGCGTCGTCGAAACAGTCGACTCAGAAGCAAAGAAGCAGTGATCATCGCGACGCCTTGTCCTATTGACGCCGCGGGACACCGCGACCGACGGTTTGCACTCGAGCTCGCAGTGCCGTCCGGATTGGCATGGACGATCATTTCCTGCTGGTCCTGGCCGGCTGCTGACACATCGCATCTTCCTCCTGTGTTCACGGCTGGTGTTGCAAAAGCAAACGTAGCACATATATATATATATATATATAGAGTATGAATGTGTGACTTAAATCTGTCTACTTAGTCCATGTTTGTTCCGTCCTGTGTTCCACGTGTAGAGTGTAGAGGTTGGCATGAAGCATACTGTGTCAGTGCATTTTGTATCAAGCCTTGCCATGTATGTGCTCCTAGTGCCATAGTTCTCGTTCCCCAGACAGTGATCTCTCGAGACCCCTCGCCCATGAAACATGGACTTAGTCAACGGCCCTCTCTGGGTTTGTGTGACCACGACGGCAGGCCCAATTTAACTCGTGCAACGCCAGTCCTCGAGCCGAAACCCTGCAGAATGTTAGCTCCTAATCTTGGCGATTCGTCTAGCATGCGGCTCCGAGTGGGGTCTATTTTCAGGCCTAGGTAGAATTGAGCTGTGGCACTAATTCTCCCATAGCCAGGCAGTGTTCGCAGAGAAAGTAACTAAATCTGGAAATGTAGGGTCTAGACTAGGTCATGATGTGACAACTGCAGCGTCTGACCTTTGCCCAGATCGAGGCCACAAGCGCAGGCACAGACGCAGCAGTACGGTGTTCCAATTGCTACAGCCACACTTCCATTGCGTGTTTCTTCTACCAAGTTAATTCCCAAAGCAGCATCCACCATCATTGCGCTACGTGGGTGGCACCTGCCTCTGTTCCTCGTGTTGCTTGAATGCTGAAGGTGTAGACTCGTAGTCGTTGACACGGATGTCTTCACCTAAGTTCTCTTTCCCACCATGCCTACATTCGCACGATGCAGGTGCCTGCACCAATTGTGCCTGATTGTGTTGATGCCTCGACGGAAAATCTGTCGAGATTTGGATAGTGCCGCCATGGAATTGTCCTACAGCGGGCTTTTCCCACATGACAATGGTTCCCATGGGTTTAAAAGGCATGCGGATCAAAAAAAATTTAATCAGGATCAAAAAAAAATTTATTTGGGATCAAAAAAAAATTTAAGCAGGATCAAAAAAAAATTAATCCTGCGTAGTAGTAGTAGTAGTAGTAGTAGTAGTAGTAGTAGTAGTAGTAGTAGTAGTAGTAGTAGTAGTAGTAGTAGTAGTAGTAGTAGTAGTAGTAGTAGTAGTAGTAGTAGTAGTGGTGGTAGTAGTAGTAGTAGTAGTACTAGTAGTACTAGTAGTAGTAGTAGTAGTAGTAGTAGAAGTAGTAGTAGTAGTAGTAGTAGTAGTAGTAGTAGTAGTAGTAGTAGCGTGGGTGGGGGCCCTCCCCTCCACGCCTTTGCCGCACCCTTCCGTACCAAAACCACCATGATTGTTATGTTTGGGGCTCGCCCTCGTCCCCCCCCCCCCCCCCCCCCCCCCCCCCCCCCCCCCCCCACACTGCCGCTCCCCCCTCCCCCCCCTGCCCGGGCCTGATCGGTCCTCCCCCTCTCCACACTCCCTCCCCACGTAGCGCGTCCCCCCCCTCCACACAGCGCGTTTCCCCCCCTCGGGCCTTGAAGAAGACACGAAAATAATAATAATAATAATAATAATAATAATAATAATAATAAGAATAATAATAATAATAAGAAGAAGAATAATAACAACAACAACAATAATAATAATAATAATAATAATAATAATAATAAGAATAAGAATAAGAATAATAATAATAATAATAATAATAATAATAATAATAATAATAATAATAATAATAATAATAATAATAATAATAATAACAACAGCAACAACAATAATAATAATAATAATAACAATAATAATAATAATAATAATAATAATAATAATAATAATAATAATAATAATAATAGTAATAATAATAATAAGAAGAAGAAGAAGCAGAACAATAATAATAATAATAATAATAATAATGATAATAATAATGCTCCTGCCGGGGGGGGTTCCTTCCCTTCCTTACCCGATCCCTCTCCGTCGGGCCGCCCTCCCAATTCCCCCCCCACCTAACACAAACTAGCGGTTCCTCCCCTCCAACGCTGTTTGCCCCCCCCCCGCCCCCTTTTCCCTCCCTCTTTCCCTCCACAACACCGTTATTTTTGTTTTTGCCTGTTTGGCCTCCCCTCTCCCCCTCCCTCCCCTCCCCTCCGCTCGCGGGGGCCGGCCCCCCCCCCCCCGCCCCCCAAAACTCCACTGCCACCATCCTGGCCTCGCCATCGTCCCCCTCCCCTAAATTTTCCCCCTCTCCCCCCCCCCTCTCCACACTCCCTCCGTAGCGCGTCCCCCTCCCCAAAACCACCATTATTATTTTTGGCGTTCCTCTCCCCTCCACTCTAGGACCAAACACCGCTCTTTCCCTCCGCCCCGTTATTTTTGGCTCGCCCTCCCCCTCCGTTCCCCTCCCCACATCGCGTTCTTGCCCCACCCCCCCCCCTCCCCCCCCTTAACTCACACTGCTCCTCCCTCCTCCCCCATCAGGCGCATATATTTTTTTTTGATCCTGTTTAAATATTTTTTTGATCCTTGGGGCAGTAAGTTTTTTTTTGATCCTGTTTAAATTTTTTTTGATCCGGTACTCGGTTTAAAAGGCAACAAACTCAGTGCTGATCATTGCTCGTCGCAGCCACTCTTTCCAGGCTAGTACAGGCCCTGTTTTGCGACCAGGAGGCGTAGTCGAAACAGTGCACTCAGAAGCAAAGAAGCAATGATCATCACGATGCCTTGTCCTATTGACACCCGGGACACCGTGACCTTGCCGACCGTTTGCACTCGAGCTCGCAGCACCGTCTGGATCGGCATGGACAATCATGTGCCGCTGGTCCCGGCCGGCTGCTGACACATCGCATCTTCCTCCTGTGTTCACGGCTGGTGTTGCAAAAGCAAACGTTGCACATATATATATATATATATATATAGAGTATGAATGTGTGACTTAAATCTGTCTACTTAGTCCATGTTTGTTCCGTCCTGTGTTCCACGTGTAGAGTGTAGAGGTTGGCATGAAGCATACTGTGTCAGTGCATTTTGTATCAAGCCTTGCCATGTATGTGCTCCTAGTGCCATAGTTCTCGTTCCCCAGACAGTGATCTCTCGAGACCCCTCGCCCATGAAACATGGACTTAGTCAACGGCCCTCTCTGGGTTTGTGTGACCACGACGGCAGGCCCAATTTAACTCGTGCAACGCCAGTCCTCGAGCCGAAACCCTGCAGAATGTTAGCTCCTAATCTTGGCGATTCGTCTAGCATGCGGCTCCGAGTGGGGTCTATTTTCAGGCCTAGGTAGAATTGAGCTGTGGCACTAATTCTCCCATAGCCAGGCAGTGTTCGCAGAGAAAGTAACTAAATCTGGAAATGTAGGGTCTAGACTAGGTCATGATGTGACAACTGCAGCGTCTGACCTTTGCCCAGATCGAGGCCACAAGCGCAGGCACAGACGCAGCAGTACAGCATTCCAATTGCCGCAGCCATACTTCCATTGAGGTTTCTTCTAGCAAGCATCTCCCTAAGCAGCATCCAGAATCATTGCGCTACATGGGTGGCACCTGCCCTCGTGTTGCTTGAATGCTGAAGGTGTAGACTCGTAGTCGTTGACACGGATGTCTGCACCTAAGTACATTCGCACGATGCAGGTGCCAGCACCAATTGTGCCTGATTCTGTTGATGCCTCAACGGAAATTCTGTTGAGATTCGGATAGTGCCGCTATGGAATTGTCCTACAGCGGGCTTTTCCCACATTATAAAAGCAACAAACTCAGTGCTGATCATTGTGTGACGAGCAATCTTTCCAGGCCAGCGTAAGCCCTGTTTTGCAACTGGACGCGTCGTCGAGACAGTCCACTCAGAAGCAAAGAAGCAATGATCATCGCGACACCTTGTCTTATTGACACCCCGGGACACCCCGACCGACGGTTTGCACTCGAGCTCGCAGCGCCGTCCGGATCGGCATGGACGATCATTTCCTGCTAGTCCTGGCCGGCTGCTAACACCTCGCATCTTCCCCCTGTGTTCACGGCCGGTGTTGCAAAAGCAAGCGTTGCACAGATGGATATGAAAGTGTGGCCTAATTCTGTCTACTTAGTCCATGTTTGTTCCGTCCTGTGTTCCACGTGTAGAGGTTGGCATGAAGCATACTGTGGCAGTGCATTTTGTATCAAGCCTTGCCATGTATGTGCTCCTAGTGCCATAGTTCTCGTTCCCCAGACAGTGATCTCTCGAGACCCCTCGCCCATGAAACATGGACTTAGGCAACGGCCCTCTCTGGGTTTGTGTGATCACGACGGCAGGCCCAATTTAACTCGTGCAACGCCAGTCCTCGAGCCGAAACCCTGCAGAATGTTAGCTCCTAATCTTGGCGATTCGTCTTTGCAGTTTCTGAGAAACAGCGGGGTTTCCTGCACTGCTGGTAGCGCTTGAGGCAGCAATGGTACTGCTGACTCGCATGAATGTCCATACAAAACCATCACAATCAAAAGCAAGCCCAGAGTTTGAAACAGCATTAGTCATCATCACACTAGCAGCAGTAAGACGGAGGCCACCACGACGACCAGCAACTGCTAGGAGCCATACTCCTGGACTGGGATGTTCGTTGTTCCGTGCCATCAGAAGCAAGACGAGTCGCAGAACCCCGTGAGATTATCACCAACGCAGGGTGAGACTGGCACGGCTAGAGTATCAGTACTTCAGCACTCGTACAAAAAAGGACGACGGAAGTAAGAGAGGAACACGGTGAAGCCTGAAACACTCCTGCTTTATTCCTGAGGAGCAGCAGGGAGGCCCGCAGATGGTGGGACAAGGCGGGCATACAACAGATAGCCCAAATAGTTGCCAATACTATTTTCGGCGTTCCGTAAGATAAGCACCGTATAATGGGCCCCAAAACCCAGGCCCTAGTCTAATCATGAAGGCCCTTATATTTCTCGAAATTTGTGGTGTCTTTCATGCAGGAAGTGTAGTAGTCCTACCCATGTTGTTACTAGTAACAGTGAGAATGGAGGCAGCACAAGCAAAACGTCGAATGCTGGGCGAACGTGATGATGCAAGCTGTTCACTTCTGTTCCATCCTAGCTCGAACACTGATGCTGCAAGCAATCATAACGCTCGTTGCATGCCTTCTTCTGCACAAAGAGGATCGGCCAGCAGTAGTTGTTAAACTGCGTCGTTTCTCGGATAGTCAAGACGCTCGCCTCTCACGATATCTAAATCCACCGTGTCTCTCGTCAAGCCCACACATTTGGCGCACACAAAGCCTACGACGCCCCTGGCTGTGGAGGAATGACAATGCAGCCCATGATGCCACAAGCATTCGTGGTGAACAATGCGTCCGCATCCCAGGATACGAACGACTTCGATGCTAATGCTAGTCAGAACCCCGACTGCTCGCCAGCCTATAATGTCTGTTCTTTCCTGTTTAATCACACACAGCCCTATGCTAATCATTGGGTATCTTATACTCCCAAACCCTAAGCCCTCAACCCTCCCCGTGCGCCCAAGTGCAATTTTGCTTTTTGACTCAGGTCAGGCGGCCAGCAGAACCAGATGCAGTGCCCCAGCGATTGTCAGTTACATAGCCAATGTTAGGGGTTTCGAGGTTTTGGGTTCGAGAGCTTAGGATTTGGAGTTCACTGTTAGAGCCGGTTAGAGGTCTAGGGTTCTGGGGTGATTTTTTAGCCTCCAGCATGCGTGGCCCGTGCTTGTGTATCATGCTTGGTGAGCCGCAGGTACGGCCAAATGTACGGAGGCCCGGGTCAAGGCGCCAACCACTTCGTAGCTTCGGTGGGGGGATGCTGGGATGGGAGAGTTTGATAATAGTAAATATAAATGTAATAATAGTAAGACTACTAATAGTAATAATGTAGCGGCATGGAGTTCAGGGCTCCTTTCGGGTTTTAGGAGGGCTTCTTCGCAGGAAGGTGAAGTGCAACTGCAGAGCTCTTGCTGAGCTCAAGTTGATTCCAGAGCCTGAGATCCTGAAGCAAACCCCCTTTAGGGTTTAGGGTTTAGGGGTTTAGGGTTTAGGGTTTAGGGTCCCGGACACTGCTGCAAACCTGAGCCCTAGACACCTGGACCTTGTGAACTTGAAGCCCCGACCCCCGCGGCTTAATGTGTCACCGGCAGGGCAGCCGCACCAAGGACAAGGTATGGCGCAGCGGGCTCAATGTGACGATACTGTCAGCCTTGACTTCGGCTCAGTCTAGGCTGTGCGTATCCTGGCCAATCCAAAAAACCCTACTTGAGAGACAACCCCTCTGGTTCGTTTCGAGGTAAGTTTAACTCCAAGAATGTTCTTAGGAGCCCTTCACACGCCAAACTCAAGGGCGTTGCTTTGCAGAGAATTCCCGCTTCCACGTTCTTGACGGAAGGGCAGCAGGAGCCTTTGCTTTCGGGGGGCTCAAAAGCTTCTCCATCGCCTTGCTCGCTCAGGCAGCCTACCATTGTCTTCAACCAAGCAGGAGGCATGCCCCAGGGCGGCGTCAACATGGTGTCCGGCCCTAAGAGAAGGTGTCAACGCCGTTTCACTTGACAAAGTTCCTGGTACCCGCTGCTCTTCGTGGACCAAGGCCGATGCAACTGCAGAACCAGCAGGGGCAGATGGCAGGTGGGCGGTTTCGCTTCAAGCTTTATTGCGGTCCAGTTTAGGCTTTGTGGCTTTCGTGGTGATGGGCTTCAGCTTTCTGGCGCTTCGGACCTCGTTGGAAGCAGCTTGCGAGCACCGGTGAAACCCTCACAATGAGCTTCCGAGGCGCATTCCACAGGTCGGTTATTCGGAGCTTGGGGCTTTGGGGTTTCGCCTTGAAGTTGGAAGCCCGAAGCTCTGAAGCCCACTTGCAAAGTAAGGCTTTCTCTCAGTCACTGGGGCTGCGAAGATTTTCACATCCGAGGTGGTTGTTTACCCTGCCTTATGCTAAACCGTAAACCCGTAATCTAAGAGCGACCCTGAGCCTGAGTCTCAAGCCGCAAAGCCGGCAAGGCGTGACAGCCGGTGGTGCCATGCCGAAGTTTGGTGGACCGCAGCAGCAGATGGTCGTTCTGCTCCCCAGAGGGTGTTGGGATGGCATTCTCATATGTACAGGTTCTTTCTTAAACCCGAGGCATTTTAAAGCCCGGCGGACTTACGGATGTGCAGGGCTTCGTGCCAGTGAGGCTCCTATCATGGCCCGCTGCGAACCCACGAGAGTACGTTGCAACCGAAGCAGCAGAGTCAGACACCCCTACTTGGAGGTTCATGGCTACTTATAAGTCGGGTTATAAGTCCCCTAATATGGGTTATAAGTATAGTTACACTACTTACTACTTATAACCCCACTTACAACATCTGCTTTGCAAGTTCCAGTCCCTCAAAGCAGCTATGCCAGACTGTGCCTTCGATCCTCGAATTGCAAAGTGGGAGTTTCCGAAAATTGGGGGCACCTTATCTTGGGGTCCTTATTATGAGGGTCCTACTACTGAGGGTACTATACTAGGGTCCCCCACTTTCGGAAACTCCCAAAATCGCCGGACCTGCCCCCGGTGGTGCTGACTTTGAAGGTTTCTTGGAGTGTTCTTCGTGCCCAGGTTGTCCCAATGATGCTTGCAAACACGGGCCAATACGGCAACGGGCAGGCGCGGGCATAAGACCGAGGGGCGCACCTCTCGCAGCTAGCCGGCGTGATCCGCTCCGTTTGAGGTTGGTTTCGGGCAGAGGGCGCTAGTGCGAAGTCTACCTTGCCTCAAACATACGAGTGCAGCCCAACATCCTGAAGCACAGAAAAGAACATGATGCAATCCTAAATGCTCACCCCGGGGCTGACATGTCAAGACCTAAGAGCCTAAGACCATCAACCATCAATCTTCAACTGCAAGCCCCAAGCCTCCATTACCCCGTGCATAGCGCATGGGATCGGGGTTCATTTTTGTTTTAGGGCCGTGTTGAAGGACTCCTGCAGCCTGAACTCATCTCAACATGCTAAGCTGTCAATGCCACTAAAATAAGAAAGGCCCTGCATCTCTAAATCCTTCAATCCTGCAGCTCTTCGCCCTAAAACCCTCAAGCCAAGAGTTCTGGCCCCACGCCCTTTAAACCCGACATCCCTCATCCCTTCAACCTTAAACCTAACCCTGATAGCCCCAAAACCCTAAAAGCCTGAAAGCCCTAGAACGCGAAAAGTATGAAGCTTTCAAGCCCTCTCGCCAAATCCACGGCCCTGTGTCCCCAAGCCCTGCGCCCTGAACCCTAAATTCCCAAGAGCTTCTTGCGCCAGGCGGGTTTCATGATGCAAGGCCAGCAGATGCCTCCGCAGGGAGGGCCTCCTGGAGGGCCGCCACAGGCGGGGTAGGGTCGGGCATGTATAGTAGGAGCGTACATAACTACCAATACTACTGTGGGGGTTCCATACTATAACTATAGTATCACGGGTTCCCAAACCCTATTCTAATTATTCGGGCCCCTGTAAAAGGACCTCTTTCTAGGTTACGTTCAAGGTTCCGTTTCTTTTTGGGATATTGCCATATTGAACGTGCGACACGTGCAGAAAGACTGACGACATCACCCCAAACTCTTAACCCCCAGGTCTTAACCCCGAACACGAAACCCTGCTTAAAGAGTGTTGGTTGTGCAGTGCGTGTTCCTCAGGGCGATGGGGGCCCAGGGCCCATGATGCAGCAGGGAATGCCTCCTGGCAGGGATTGTGGGGTTTTCGGGGTCTTTAGGATTTGGGGTGTGGGCTTGGAATGTGTGGGTTTCGGATCTGGGAGGCATGGGGATAAGGCAGAAGGGCAAAGCATGGTCCTGGTGCAAACGTAGCTATGTCAGCGGGAGCTTGCTGTCAGGCAGCCCCCCCCTCCTTCCCCCGATGCAACTGTTTGACGGGGCTCTGCTTGGTATCGGATGAGAGGCAAGTTGACGGGTCGGAGGGCCTGGCTGTATGCACTGTCTTCTTGGGGTCGTTTCATGGCCGGAACGAGCTGTAAACCCGAAGGTGTAGCGGCGCTGCCCGATTATCAAAAACCGTTGTGCTGAGCGAAGCCGGTAAGGTGCTGCTGGGATTCGGAGTCCAGGCTGTAGGATGATAGTCAGGACGATGGTAAGAAGAAGGTAGCGCTACTTTTTCGATCTTGTTGAGGAAAGTCCTAACGCCCCGCCAGACCAGCAAGAACCGCGAAATGCCAAAGGCATCAAACCTTCAGCAGTGATCTCCGCGACCTCGAGCCCAGGGGATATCCCCAGCGGCAGTAGCAGCTGTGCACAAGCAGCGGAGAGCGAAGCGTCCACGTCTCAGCTCTGCTTGCGGTGAGGCGTGGGGTTGTAAGGCTCTGGGACTCTATCTGTCGTAGTGTTAGTCCTCCTTGGACCAGGTGCGATGTGGTGTGCCTATTCCGTCATTCTTGTGAGGACTTTCCTTCAGCATCCCACGACACTTTGTCATTTTCCGTGCGAAGCCAGAACTCTCCGGAAGAACATGCTGCCGAATGTCGGCTGGTTGCTTTCGGACACTAAGCCCGAACTCGACTTATGGCCAATTTTCGCTTGTTGGTTGTGAAGCTTTACAGTAGAAGCCGATAAGTTGGAAACCCGATAGCCTCAAACCCTACGAGTAAAGTATAGGGAACCCCAGCACTGTTTGTCCTTAATTAGGTTTCCAACTTTTTGGAGTTTTCCGTAAGTCTCTCTCTAAGTCCTAGCTCCTCTAAGCGGCACTAACCATCTTAAATCCCATCTCCCCAAATTTCTCCAGAGTCCAGGGCACGACGAGAATTTCAGGGTTTCAGGCACACGTGTTTAGCCTATGCCCGCTACCGTTGGGTTTAGGAAGTTACGGTTTAGGGTCTAAGGTTTAAGGTGTAGGGTTTAGGAAGGTAGCACCGCCAGATCAATTCTCCGACACTCTGTGCCTTTCACCCAACATCTACAACTCTCAAACCTCAGCCTTGCATCAACTCAGGACCCTATACCCAGAAACCCTGGACCCTGAACCCCCCAACGCATAGATCTCCCAGCCCTTATCCTTAAACCAAGAAAGCCCTAGACCCTAAAACCTAAAGCAAGAAAAGCGATCTCAAAAGCCTCAGCTTCAAATGGTTCACTCTGCGGGAGGCCAGCGCTCTTCTGCCCAGCCTCACAGTGAGTTTCTGAGCTCAAGTCCTTCCGTCGGTTTAGTTCAGGTTCAAACTCATCGACTGCTGGATGTGTCCAGCTGGTAACAGTAGAAGAGTAAGATGAGTAGGAACAAGAGTAGGAGTAGGAGTAGGTAGGCGCGGGAGTAGGAGTAGCGGTCGCAATAGGAGTAGCAGTAGCAGTAGCAGTAAGGAGTAGTCATAGTCGTGGTTGTGTTGTCGTGGCGGCGATGGTGGTACAAGTAGAGTTGGTTGGAATGAGAGTTGGTCTCTGTGGCTCGAAGCAACTGTGGTGAATGGGTTCACGGCAGCATGCACGTCTCAGCTACAAGGGACATGGACAGACTTCAGCTCCTCTGTGCTCCTAGGGCTGTGCCCCAGCAGCTCAGCTTCCGTGCGCGCCACCAACGGCAGGGCGATGGGATCCGAAAGCCACAGGGCTGAAGGGTCCACCGTTGTAATAGTGAAGCTGATTGAATTTCAAGTTGTTGTGTAGGACGTTTGCTTAGAGTCTAGGGCTCCGAGATGATATTGAGCTTGTTTTCGACCTGCAGTGCCTATGGCCCACAGTCGAGACACTCGACTGCGGTGTCCGCGTTGGCCCTGCAGCGCACCGCCCCACGCACGTGCTGAAGCTGACGGGCACAGAGCTTGTCGTTTCTTCTGCAGCTGCTGCAAGCTTAGAGTTAACCCGCTTTTGGGTAAATGAAGCTTGTGATTCCAATCCGTGCGTCTGTAGGCAGTAGGCTTACTGCAAAGTTGGCTTCGTCGCAAGGTCGCTCAAGCCTTCTAAATGCACTTGCTGTCCTAATCGTGACAGTAAGAACAAGCACAACAGTCGTAAGCTTCATAGTCTCATAGTCATCGTCACAGTAAACCGTTGAAGCAGTAGTGCCCATGAAGTAGAAAGACAGCCTCGTGCTTCGTTTGCTCACCAGCAGCTGGCAGTGTTATGGTTTGTGGCTTCTGCAGGTGGGTCTCAAGCCGGATCCCGGATGTCACTGCTACGAATGGTCTTGTTGCTTCTTTCGTCTTGTTAGCTTCTTATTCCGTTACTGTGACAACTACAGCTCACATAGATTCAACCACCACAACAAGAACAAGAACAACAACAACAACAACAACAACAACAACAACCACAACCACAACTCCTACAACAACAACAACAACAAAAAGAACAACTACAAGTACACGTACCAGTACAACTACAGCAACAGCCACAACTACTACGGCCACGACGGCCAGGATCACTCGCTCCTGATAGCGTGACCACTACCACTACCACGGCCACTCTACCACTTCAACTGCCGCCACGACTGTTACTGCCACTACGGCGACAACGACGACCTCTACAAACCTCTACAAATACTTCGGCGACGGCGACGCCCACCCTTATCCTTATCCCTGCCCCTGCCCCTGTACTTCTGCTACAACTTTTGCTACTATTGCTCCTACTACCACTACTACCACCACTACCACTGCCACTGCCACTACCACTACGACTACCATGACCACTTCCACTACCACTACCGCTGCCCCTACCGCTACCATTACTGCTACCACAACCACGACACAACGACTGCCACATCCACTTCCACTTTTACTTCCACTTACCTTACCACTGCCCCTACCGCTACCTTTTACCACAACCACAACCACTTCCCCTTCCACTTCCAATACCACTCACTACCGGTATTACTACCACACTACCACTACCACTGCCACTTCCACTACCACTACCACTGCCCCTACCGCTAGCGTGTCTTGTACTGCTACCGCTACCACAACCACAATGTCACAACCACCACCACTACCGCTGCCCCTACCGCTACAGCTAACACAACCACAACCATAACCACAACCACTTCCATTGCCACGTCCACTGCCACTGCCACTAGCACTACCACTACCACTAGCCCTACCACCACCACCACCACGACGACAAGTACGACAAGTACGACAACGACGACGAAGACGACGACGACGACGACGACGACTACTACTACTACTACTACTACTACGACCACTGCTACTACCCCTATTGCTGCTGCTGCTCCTGCTCCTGCTGCTGCTGCTGCCGCTGCTGCTGCTATCACTAATACTACTACTACTACTACTACTACTACTACTACTACTACTACTACTACTACCACTACTAGCACTACTAGCACTACTAGCACTACTAGCACTACTACCACTACTACTACTCCTACTACTACTACTACTACTACTACTACTACTACTACTACTACTACTACTACTACTACTAGTACTACTACTACTACTACTACTACTACTACTACTTCTACTTCTACTTCTACTTCTACTTCTACTTCTACTTCTACTTCTACTACTTCTACTACCAGCGGCAGCAGAGGCTGCCATCAAAGTGGTGAGTTCACAAATATACGAGCCATCAGCCCTCCATGCCCGAACCATCGGGCAGCGAAGCCATTCTTTGAGGCCGCAACCTGCATGAAGCTGCATCTCCGAAACCTAGGTACGCAGGAGGCTTCCACAGCCTTTCGCTGGTGGGCTCGTCCATGAAAGTGTCAGCTTTTTCATTTAGGTCCTTTGTAGGCATTTCTGAGAATGCAGTGTTCGGCAGCTTTCAGCAGCAGCATGGTCCCAGTAATGGAAAGTCGAGTGCCAAATGTCACAAGCTTAGCCTGAAAACCCAAGGAGCCCTGAACCCCTCAACCACAAAAGACGATCTTCAAAGAAAAGCCCACAATTCCTATAAAGGCCATTGATCGTCCTCAAACCTTCAAACCCCTGAACCCTAAACCCCCAAAAGCCCACCATTTTGTTGTGGCGAGCCAACCACTCACAGAGTGAGCCTGCGGAGCTCCTCGCATGCCTATTTCGGGAGATGCCGGGGGTCTGCCGAGAGCGTTTGAGTGTAGTGCTTTGCTGTTGAGCGCTTTTACGACTTGGGGTTGGAGCTCAGGCTCTACGGCTTTCCTGCTTTGCTTCGGGTTTTAGGGCCTTTGGGGCTTCGTTGTTGAGGGCTTCTAACATTTGGCGTTTTAGTTTAGGCTTTAGGGCTTTTACGTTTGGGGGTTGGTGTTCATGGTTTAATTCGGGCTAAATAGCGAATGGGTTCAGGGGTGTTGGGGTTTCGGGTTTTCTATGGTTGAGGGATTCTGGATGCTACACCCAGGGCCCCGTAGATAGCTTTACAATCGAAAGCAGTCTTCAGCTGCCCAGGCCGAACTTTACAACTCGAAGCCACGAATCCCATAAGCTCTGAGTGAACGCAAGTGGGGTTTCAGCCTGAATTCACACCCCCTCTCCCTGTACGCTAAATTAAATCAAAGCCTCTTGTTGCTCGCAGCAGGTCGAGCAGGTGCAGACCCCGCACCCCGTTGCCAACTCCGTTTTGACCTCATTCCATCTGTGGCCCTCCGCAGTCCACAGCTTGTTGACAAAGAAACCCCGGAACCCCACAACCTCAAAGCGGCAAACGCTGAGGACATGATCTCGCGTTCGACAAGCCCCGAAGACAGAACTCAAGGCCCCCAACTCCCCAAACCTTAAATCCGAAACCACAAAGCCCGACACCGCAACTGCCAGCCCGACTTTCTCGTCAGGCATCAGCCGCGGGAAGTAGACAGGTAGACCACGGGTGGGCATGATTTTGAAGCTAGCCCGAAACCCGAAAACCCCAACACTGCGACGGCTTAAGGGTATGGGGTTTTGGCTTTTGGCAGCCTTCAGGGTCCAAGCCTACGCTTTTGCATTGAGCTTCTGGGTCTCTTGTCTTTGCTGCATATGATGACAAACTGTCGTGCATTCATTATCATTACACCTGTATATGTTGTAGTAGACTACACATGCAGCATCTCCTAATGGTTCCGCACCGTGGTTGCTCACAATCAGACCGATTACAGATCAGACTATACAGAACAAAAGCCAGGACGTGAACTCGTCCCTTCAAGGCAAAAACTCCAGCAGGTTTTGAGAGTGCCCACCCGCTTTGCCGCAGGGTTGTTGCTGCCGGAGTGCTGTCGTAGCAGGAGGCAGAGGGAATCAGTCGAGCACCCCAACTTCAACACCAGCAGACGTTGAGGACCAAACAAGCAAACCTCCAAGGTCCATAGGCCTGCAACCCTACCCCTG